AATGCCCAAAACATAAAAATAATTTTAATTAAACTTATGATCATATTATAAATTATTTTAGTGTTCAACGCGACTCATTGCTTCCTGGACCAAATTCGAAGAAGAAAACAGAAACATAACAAAATGACGTAGCTCGCAAGGCAAAAACGGGAAAAAGAAATTTATTTGTTACACGTTAAGTAAAACGTAACAAAATAACGTAACGTAAAATAACTTTGTTAAAAGGTTGATTTCACACTAAATAACCTTTAGTGTGAAATCAACCTTTTAACAAAGTTATTTATACCCGCACTAAAAATTGTTATTACTAAGTTCATATAGTTATTGTTCTCATGTAAGTGACTATTGTCTTATTGAGAAATAAAGATCTTTAAACTAAAGGTTATTTAATTTATGTCTTTTCATTTCCAAGTGATGGAGTATTGTATACTTTGAGTATTAAACCAAAGGAGAAGGCATCGCAAGCCAAACCCCTCTGTAAAAGGTACGAGAGTCCGACTCATACTCGTTATATAAAACTAGTTGCTTCGCGTCGTGGCGTCATTTTGAAGTGATCGTGCCAGTAAATCGAGCTCCGACAAAATGCCGAATTGCAGTGTATTAGTACATGAAAAAAAAAAAACAATCAAAAACGTCAAGCATACAAAAAGACAATGTGACTTTTCATCTGTGAGTATTTTTAACATAATATTAAAGTAATTTTATCATTAAAACTCGTACTTTGTGAATATTATCGTCCAATACCGAGTGTGGCCATCATAGTTCGTAAAGTGAAAAATAATCTAGTTTAAAAAATATATAATTGACTACACAAGTTATATATATTAACGAAAATATATTTCCTATTAACTAAATCAGTTCGTGATGAATCGTCGAATCGTTACATTTAGATGTGTAGTGGATTTTGTTAAATGATTTATATATTCAGCTCAATTTTAACACGATACTGAATATTATATAATTAAATATAATCGATAACTAGTATTTATTAAAATATACAAAATACAGGCCAAATAAGTCAAATCGAAACTTGCTACCTCGCAGCAAAAGTGTGCAATTTTTATAAAAATAAACTGGTATCACTGCAACCGAAAATATTGCACTATAGTGATGAACGCCGCAACTTTAGCTATCGTTATAAGTTAATTAGCTTTGCGGGTTTGTCTGCTGAACCGGTTTGTATTTCCAAGAGATCCTCTTAGGCGGCACACTTGGATTGTAGCTTGTAGAAACCATGAATCTGACACTGCAGTGCACTGCCTTGAACTTGTGGGAGGTAATGTTGGGCTGTAATTATAATTTAGATTAAATATTTTTATTATTACCTTCACCAATATTATTCTACTTGAAAATATTTTATTAAGTTTACAAAAGCACTAACCTATCAAATTTAATGCATATATTTATATACCTATTATTGTAATTGTAAACTTAATGTAGTATAATTTTTGTACGCCATAAATGGCAAAACATGTAGCTCGTTTTAAGTTTTTTAACACTTGTATTTTATTTACTCATGTTTTACAAAATAAATATCTTTATCTTTATCTTTATCATATATATATATATATATATATATATATATATATATATATATATATATATATAGCTTGAATCTTCTGACATAAAATTATTTATTTTAAGGTGATCGTGGTGATTGCACAATATCGTCTACATCGAAAAAAGAAAGCTGGATGTTCCGGGAAAATTCCATAAGTTATCTCGAAAGTCACAATTTGAAAAAAATACCCCCCCCCCCCCGGGGGGACACCTTTTTTTTAAAATATTTTTTTAAAAATAAAATATTTTTTGTGGAGAAGGAATATTAAAATTTTAATTTAATTTTTTTTTTTTAAAATTTTTTTTTTTTTGGGGGGGGGGGGACAGGAAAGGGGGGTCCTTATATAGCCCGAACTAGTCCTACTCCCACTGCGAGTACGAGCCAACACTTAGCCCAAGGAAAATTAGAATTAAAAAATGCCTTGACATAAAAAACAATAGCATCAACAGGCTTCACAAGTTTGCAAGAAATACTGTGCCGTAACACTTACTCACCAAAAGCCTATCGCTATGTGCGTAAAACTTTTCTAACATGTTTGCCTGCACCCGTACATTGACTAAGTGGTACACTACCATCGATCGCCGACCAGGGTTTACTCAAGAAGCGTTGACGGCATTAAAATTGAGAGCGGAGAGTAACTCTGATAAATTTTTTATTGTACCTTGGTAATGCATGAAATGAAAATTAAGCAATTGACAGAATACCATGCTAGTAACCAAAGGCATTATGTATATAACCAAAATGCCTTTTAGAACTTGCATGGTACTCCATCAATTGTTTTATTATCATTTCATCTATCACTAATATACAATATAATTTCTTGTCAGGGTTACTCTCTGGTCTAAGTTTTAAAACAGTTAACGCTTTTTTTGTGTAGCCAAGTCGGCCATAAATTGTACTGTACCACTTTGTTATCGTATGTGATGAAGGCAGACCAATTTCAAAACTTTTGATATTTCGCACATATTCTTAAGCTTTCAGTGAATTAAGTAATGTAAAGTTAAAGCAAAACATCTTTCTGGGGAATACTTAGCCCTAGGTAGAAGTCACGTTTTATTTTTAGGCAGCTGTCTGCTTAAAGTTCACTTTGTTAAACTATTTATTTATTTATTTTATTCTTTATTGCATCCTTAACAAAAGAATACAAAGGGTGGACTTAATGCAATGATAATATATAATAGTGTAAAATTCTTTTTTTTTTTGTTTTTTGTGTGTTTTAAACAAACATGTAGCAAAATAATAAACTTATTTTCAATAATTTCTAAGTTCTTTTCCGAAGAACATTTCTAAATACTTTAAAAAAAAATTCAAAAACACCTTGGTATTATTTATCTATGTACGAGTATTACTTATAATCAAATAAAAACTTATATGGACTATGGTGATTTGTTTATCGATAAAAAATATCGACATAATCCACGCCTTACGGTGCTTACGCATTTAGACAGCGCCATCAGCAAAGAATATATACACTACCAGTGTATCGACACGCGTACAATTTGATGGTACGCGTAAACGCGATGAACACAAACACAAATGTTGTAGTGTGCGTTTATAGTGACACGATTTAATTTTGCATTTGTAGTTAAGTTTACAGTGTGTGTGTGTGTGTTTTCTTGCGCCCCCCTGATGTTGACAGAATTTTTGTTTAGGAATTAACGCGCTTGGCCTCTCCAGTTGGTTGAATACTCAAAGATTGTATAGCTTTGTTCTTTTTTGTGACTAATGATCGTAAGATTTGTGACTTTATTACTAGATGCGATGGTTATAATTAGGTTGAACTTAAAACTATTCTAATTTTTTGTCTCATTTCTTTAGTAAACAAATGTAGCTGTTTAAGTTTATATTCACGTGGACAGTATTTAGCTATGATTTTTTACGTTTTGATAGATGGTTTGCATCATTTTCTTTTTCTAACTGTCCCTCAAATTGCAAATACAACTTTTTTAATCTTTTGTATGTATGAATAAAATGGGTATGAGCTCTTTAATTCTGTTCATCTGTAAATATCGAATTGACTCGGGAATCCAAATAAACAGCAGATAAATATTAGAGATGGGCCGAATATGGATTTCACCGAATATGAATATTTCGCAGAACGTTCGGTTAATCTTTTACCGAACCGAATATTTGGTCGAACATTATTCGGCAGGATTACCTCGGTACTTAACCAATTTATGTCGAAACTTGTTACCGTAAAGCGCGCAGGATTAGCGCCGAGCCCTTCCCCTTGCTCTTCCGCAACACCTGACATGTTATTGCATCATCTGGTACTGAACAATTCACCGGCACATGCCTATTTTTGACTATTTTTGTCAAAAAAAGTATTTCGTTGTGTTATTCTTAGTGAAAATTGGTAATTATAATATGATAAATATGAGTGGCAGGAAATGTACTATTTGGACTTATTTTAGAGAAACTAACGATCAAAGTAAAGTGAAATGTACTAATGTAAAGTAATGTTTTTTGTATGTTACAAAAAAAAATTATCGAGCTTTCTATTTGCTATATTTGGAAATAAAGCTACAGTGCCTCAAAAACATAATGTTATATAAGTAGATTTTACCTATAAATATACTATAATACTTTCAACAGTAAAATTATTATAGATATGGCATTACTCAATTCGTACATTTCAATATAGTGGACACTTGGAGTACCACTTTAACGAATGTTCGGTGATTTAGCCGAATTTTCGGCCGAATACCGATTATAAAACGAATATTCGGCTCATCTCTAATAAAAATGTCATTTGTAAAACGATTTATCGCTCTGTCCTTCATACATATCACCTAAGACACTGCAAAGGCACTGTTAATTTGTTCTAACTCTGTTACACATTTTATCCACTTAATGTAAAAATGTAACAATGTCAATTCCCCTTGCAACCGTTAGGGTAATTTTCTGCACGGCTTGAGGGCCTGTAAGCTGTTTTCAATTTTTGTTAATGGTCCATCATCAATTAAATTTGGAAGATGCTTTTTATAAAAGACTTTTAAGCTTATAACCTATCTAACATTTTGACAGTAGAGTCCCATCGAGGACAATCTAGGACTAAGTACATGAAGTAATTGGTTTCCCTTTAACTCCAATGCTGCATTAGGACGAAGAGTTCTCATCTCATAAATTAATAATATTGTAATTTTTGTACAATATAAAAATTTTAATAAGGAAATTCCTAACAATACCAATATATCCTTGTTACCAAAAAAACTGTCAGTCATAGTAAGTACTGCACGTCAGAAGTGAAAGTTCACAAACTTGTAAGCATTATTTTTGTATTATATATTATATTTGTCTGAACTTGACGGTCACACGCGAGTTCAGTGCTTTTTCCCCACCTTGAATATCCTCAAAGAAGTTTTCACTTCAAAAATACCTCCTTGGCTATTTGTGGAGGGTTGGCAGTGTTTAAGCCGATCTTGGCGGTTGTCCGCAGTCGGCGGAGGCAGTGCGCCTTGCGCGCGCACTGCTGGAGTACGCCGAGGAGTCCATCATGGTGCCGCGCGCGCTCGTGGGCAAGGTGATTGGCAAGAGCGGCAAGGTCATCCAGGAGATCGTGGACAAGAGCGGCGTTGTGCGCGTCAAGGTGGAGGGCGACAACGAGCCGCGGCCCTCGGCGCCGCGTGAGGAGGGCATGATGTCCTTCGTGTTCGTGGGCACGCGCGAGAACATCGCCAACGCCAAGGTGCTCGTCGAGTACCACGTCGCGCATCTCAAGGTACCTCTCTCCTACTCGTCAACTGTCCAATCATTTGCTTAACTCTCATTCATTAAATATACATTCATAAACAAAAATTTAAAGGAACGCAAAAAAGTTTGAATTTTCCTACTTTATCATGTTTACTGGCTACAAACAGTAGTAAATGCTATTAAATAAATTACATGTTTTTTTTAATGCAAATTTCGTTTGTTTTTATGTTATTATTGCGTTCAATATTGCGCGTTCTTTCATACTACGAAACATTTTGTCAATATTTTTATGCCTTCACTGGCGTGTTGAAATAAAACTAGTTTTTACGGATTTTATCCCGTATACAACTTATTCGTATCGTTACGAGCACTTCACAGCACCCATGGTCCCGTGGGGGAGGGGGGCTGAGGTGTTAGACGTCCCAATATCACAGTCAAGCACGGCAACTTCCAGACACAATACATAATATATGATAATATACTTACTCCGGATTAAAATTATTTTTTTGATTTTTATCTAGATCAATAATTTTTTTTTCAACGAGTTTTAAATGACAAGGATTCTAACGAAATGTTAATTTCAAAAACTAACGTATGTGTGCGTGTGTTGTGACTTGTCAGGAGGTGGAGCAGCTGCGTGCAGAGAAGCAGGAGATCGACCAGCAGCTACGTGTGGTGATGGGCGGCGCCGGCGCCGCCTTCCCAGCGCCGCGCGGCGCACCGCCCACGCGCGCCCGCCGTCCGCGCCCGCCGCCGCAGCGCTACCCGCCCGGTCAGTGCACGTACACATACGTACACGTACCCGCCCGCTCAGCACACGTCCTCGCATGCATGCATCCGGAGCCCCAGTGCCACCCGCCCGGTGGTCTTGTTCTTCAAGGCGACAACACTCTTTAAAAACTACAGACTGATTTCCCTTCTGAGCTTCTGAGCGTCTACGTGCTATTTTCGAGTCATTACGAATCCTTTCGCACGCAGACTCGACGACTTACAGCCTCCCGAACAAGCCGATTTCCGAAAAAGCTTCAGTACTATAGACCACATACATACCCTACGGCAGATTGTACAGAAGACCGAAGAGTACAATCTGCCACTGCCTTGCCTTTGATTTCATCGAAATTTGGGCGGTGCTACAGTCGTGCTGAAGTGTTTTTGTACAGTATAGCTACAATGACTATCTGAGTACAGAACCAGAGTACGAAACCTATCCAACTGCAGATTGTACGGTATTAATATCACTCACGGCGATTACATCACTCACCTTGGATTTGCCGACGATATAGTCCTTATGACAGAATCGCTGGAGGATCTAAGCACCATGCTCAATGATCTCAATGGTGTCTCCCAATGGATAGGTACACAAAACAAAGATCATGTTAACTGTCCATGTCACGCCTATGCCAGTAGTTGTTGGGAGCTCCACGCTCGAAGTTGTTGACGAGTACGTTTACCTGGGACAAATAGTCCGACTAGGTATGTCCAACTTCGACAGAGAGGTTAATCGACGGATTCAACTTGGCTGAAATTACGACACATCTCGTCAGGTATACCTCAAACTCTGAAAACTAGATTGTAGAACCAGTGCGTGTTGCCATTGATGACTTACGGATACGAAAAGTGGTCCTTCACGCGAGAGAGGTCTATGCTCGAGGTTTCTCTGCGTGATAATCTTAGAAATGAAGATATCCGCAGTAGAACCAGAGGGACCGAAATAGCCCAAAGGATAAGTAAGCTGAATTTGCAACGGGTCGCCCATATAGTTCGACAACCGACGGGGAAAAAAGGTTCTAGAGTGGCGGCAGCCTCGTAACTATAGGCGTAGTGTAGGACGACCTCATACTAGATGGCGTGACGACCTGGTAAGACATGCAGGAAGTCGATGTATGCAGGCGGCTCAAGACCGTACTTTATGACATTCCTTGGTGGAGGCTTTTGTTCAGCAATGGACTTTGACGGGCTGTTAAATAAATCCTAAGTACAAAAGAAAGTTTCACCACTAACACATTAATAGCCATTTATAAAAGAAATCTGTTGAGATGTGTCTAGAAATTATTAAAATGCTACTCATGCAATTCATGATTCCGTTGGGGAATGAATATATTGACAAATATTATATATTTTTATGTATATTGGGTAAATAATATTATGTCCTATTATAAAATAAAATAATTTTCTCCGGTAACTATTACAGTTTCTTGTAAATGTTCTTGAAATAAAAAAAATACGAAATTTTTTTTTTGATATTCCCAATTTTAAGCTTTATTTTAACCCTTTATTTTTAATTTGAACAATTTTTTTAAGAAAATTAAATTCTGAACTTTTTGAGCTTTTCGTGAATATTTATATAGTAGTTTCTCAGTAGTGATCGTTTTTGAAGATAATGTCTCGCGCGTTCGTAAGAAAGAAATTGACATTTAATACGCGGACAGGTGGGGCGAGAATCACTCGCGCGGCTTGTACGGTTGAGTGAGTAATACATAAACTATATAAAATAATTTATTAATAAGAAACAATTTTAAAACAATTGTACGGTTAATAAATTGGATATATTATGTGTCTAGCGTAAAATTATAATTTATAACACACCCACTTTATACATTTTATAATGTTCAAGTTCTATTTCTTCATATTCTTCATATTGGCTTTGAGGTAATTTGTAGAAACTTATATCATGTCAAACTATGGCAAATATAGCACCTATGGGCAGGCCCATGTTATGCAAGATATTCATGTAACAATGTCAATTAAATTTTAGGAGGCAGACGAACTACGCCTGAGCTAGGTGAAGAGCGAGGGGACAGCGGAGGAGCGTATCGCGGCCGAGCGCGGCCACCACGTCCGAACAGGTAATATAATGGAATTCAGACGTCAATTTGAGAAATGTTTAAAAAAAATCTCTTTTCACTAAATAACAATAGAGAATGATAGAGATCACAAGTTATATATGACCTACAATTCTAACGTTTAAGAGGATGCCTTGAAAATGAATCGTAGTTTTGTGGGCGTGGCTTATTCCTTTGTCGGTGAAGCTAACGGATGACTGCGGGAGTGTCAAAATGAAAGTGATGCAATGACTTCATAGTACGCAAATTATAAGATAGCCATACCGAGCAAGCGCTCGGAAAAAAACAAAGTAAGCGCCAAACATTTTTATTTATTTTAATAAAACTTCGTTATGGATTAAGAAACTGGTTTATGAGAACTTAGACATGATTATTTACTACGCCTTAAAAATAATTTCAAGACATTATTCGTAAGAATAATGTGGTGTGATCGAGAAATATAAATAATTAGAGCCTACTTTGCAATTTTTTTCTATCGAGAAAATTACATGCTATCGTGTTTTCCTTTTATGAAATCCAGGGTCATAGTCAAAAATCATATAAAAAATTTGGTTTGTCATCTATATAACTTAAAAAAATATGTTAAATAGACAAACCACCAAATTTTCGAGGTATCACCTTAAGGGCAAGGAAATGTTCGCCACACTGACCCAATGCGTGTTTACGGACTTCATCTCGATTTCGCCTCAGAGCCACTAAAGGGGCTCCATGTTATAGTGACAGTTAATACTAAATTTAAGTAAACTGTGAGCAACGATAATATATAAGGCTGTTAATGAATCAAAATGTTACACATCAGTGCCAGGTAAAAAATACCGTGGAGTACTATTAGGTATCATAATAAGAAGTTCATGTTATCATTTACAGGGAATAAATGAAAAAAAAAATTCGCTACAAAAAATAATATTAATTTAGTAAATAGTGAAATTTGAATTGGAATACATGTTAGGTTATAAATTAGCAAAATTTTAGTACATTGTATTTAAAACAACTGAATTTAATTACCAATAACATTTTGATATTCATTAATTTGTTTTTTTTTGTTTTGTTATTATGGATAGATAGATACCATAATAATTATTTGATTAAAACTACTTTTAGAGTATTATAGCGATAAATCTAGTAGTATGTGTTCGCGTAAATATAAGAAATCATTATAATAATTATTTGTATAAATATTTTCTCATCTGGTTGGGTTCTATAAATATATAATTATAAAATGAAAACATAAATATACATGAATATCAATAAAATAAAATAAATACAAAAATACATAAATAAATAAAAGCCCAACCAGATGGTAGCCCTCGGCAGGGGAGACCAAACAACCGGGGGTTAGGAGGAAAGGGAAAGAAACAGGCGGACGATGTGCGGGTGGTATCGAGGAGCACCGCCGCGTGCATTTGAGCCCGGAGCGGTCCGTCACGGAGTCCCAGCCGCATCAGATGACCCGAGAGGCTGACTGGGATCAGCTCATTCGCAGAGACGACTACAGGAATAATTTCGGCAGGCAGACCACCCCACATGTCAGTCACCTCGTGAGCCAGGTCCAGATATTTTGTTTGTTTATCTGTTTCGGCTTTCACGAGGTTCTCGTCATACGGAATGGTAATGTCGACCAAAAATATCCTTGACTGTGCCCGGTCCATCAGCACAATATCAGGCTTATTCGCAAGAATAGTCCTGTCTGTGATGATGGTCCGGTCCCGGTAGAGCCTGGCGTGGTCATTTTGGAGCACGGCTTCCGGCAAGTACTTGTAATACGGCAATTTCCGGTCCACGAGACCGTATTTCAGAGCGAGCTCCTGGTGTAGAATTCTGGCTACTAGGTTGTGCCTGTGCAAGTACTCAGAGTTAGAAAGCGCCGAACAACCGGAGATGACATGCCTAAGTGACTCCCCGGGATGGCGACAAGCTCGACGGACGTCGACGGTGCCATCCTTTAAGATGTATCTCCGATAGTTGTTGGTCTTAATAACCTGATCCTGTATTGCACAGACAAAATCCTCGGTTTCACCGAAAAGGTCACCGAAACGTAGCCAGTTGAGGGAGGCGACAGTATCTACGAAGGGCTCATGTAGAGTCCTGTAGTACCTCCCGTGGAGCTCCTTCCATACGGTCTCCCGGTCGGAAATGCTTTGTAATGCCGGGTCCTGCCATTGCTCGTTGGCTAAGGGTAGAGGGGTAAGCCCTTTATCACTAGAAATAACGTCATTATAGAATGGATCATCCGATCACGCCAGGAAGTAATTACTTTTGTTATTATGGTATCTATGTGCCCCTTTTCGATTGGACAAGGTTTTCTTTACATTGCAAAGATGGGTTTTGACAAATCCACATAACTTGGGAATCACGTGTTAGTGATAATATTTAAAACATTCAATAATTATGTAAAGATATTTGTCATTATTATAATAACAATAAAGCTTAAATAATTAAATTATTATTTGAATGATTAGAATGCTGGGATTAAAATGAGCTTCCTTAGAAATCATTTTAATATCTCTTTGAGTTCAACAGAAAATCTTTGAGTAAATTTTTGCAAAATGTTCTCTTTCCCGGTTAGGAACTTGTTCAAACTGCTTTGTGAAAGCCTATTTCAAATGAAAATATTGTATTACATCGGCAGGTCGAGCGAGCGACGCGGTGAAGAGAGACGCGTGCCGTTGGAGAACGGGCGCGCGCACCCGCGTCCGCCGCGCGAGCCGCGCGAGCCGCGGGAGTCACGCGAGCCTCGCGAGCCACGGGAACAGCGCGACCCACGAGACCAACGAGATGCTGTTAGTATACTCCACTTATTTTTGTTGCCTGTGTGATTTTGATGTAGATGTCTGAGTTACAGTATCCATTTACTATCAAGTAGATTGTGTGCTCGTTTATCACCCTTATTTCTATAAAAAAACGGCAAAAACTATCAAATAAAAGTACTTTTTCAGTGCAGACTTTCATACTAGATAAATAAGTAATGTTCTATAAGAGTCCCTAAATAAATAGAGACAAAAAAACTTTCATCCTTGTCTGATTACTTTCTGGAAAAAGCTAACAGCTGTTATTTTTCCGGACCGATAAGATTTAGAGATATTAAAAAAAGCCATTCGCTTGAAAAAGGTTGGCTATGCACCAGCAATTCCTCTAGTGTTGTAGTTGTAATCATTACCGTTTAGCGGACGTTTGACCCCTTTCCTACATAAAACGTGTCACAGGCACACTGCAGTTGCTGTATTATAATATATTGTTACCACTCCAAAAGTGACAAGACTTTTTTATTCGTAGCATTAGGCGCATTACTCGTCCATTGAGGGTTGAATGGTCTATAAGGTATAGATATAGCAATATAGTAGTATTATAGTAGCCTATTAATAAAAAGTTAATTTACTAAAACAAACGCATATTTTAATTTATTTTATAAAAAGAGAAAATAAAACGAAAAAAGACTGTTAGTAAAATCTTATTAGAAGTTAACAAAGTTTTTTTTTAATGGAGGTTATATTTCTTAGAAGATAGCTATTTTGTTTTTACTATGTCAGGGTAATCTAATCTGCATTTGGAATCTGAATCGAGGATTGATGTAGGTATCTATGGGCCCCAGCATCCACTTACAATCCGGTGGACTGTGTGATGTGCTCGTTTGAAACATAAATAAAAAAATGAATGTAAATGTTGTCGATATTCAGAGCGGACGGAGGCGCGAGGTGCGGGAAGTTCGCGAAGTACGCGAGGTGCGCGACGAGCGGCGGCGCGGCGACGACGACAGCTCGCTGCTCGACAGCCAGGACGGCTCCAGCGCAGACAGAGGTACGCGCGCCGGAAACCGCGACACAGCGCCCCCGACGCCACTTACCAAACTAACTGACAAACAAACAATAAATTACTATTACGATTCTTTTGAAGAAAACAATACCAGACTGTTTTCAGATACGTCGAAACCACAAAGTATTCTTTTTAGAATATACACAGTTAAACTAAATCATTGGTAAACGATTAAACTAAATTATACTCCTAAAAATTACGTAGAGTCTAAAATTGAGCAAAGTTTTAACATTTCAAGTAAGGAAAACTTTAGAAACCATATTGGTCAATTTATCAAGTAACCCTACTGCATAATAGCACCAAATGGAATAAAACAAAAAAAAATAACACCAATAAATCCTAAGCTCTCAAAATGTTAGCTTTATCTGAAACGAATTCCACGTCGCACGTATTCATTCAGAATAAATTAAACAAAAACGTATGTGCTTAAAACACTCACAATAGTTCGCGACGTCTTGTTACTTTGCAAAATACATACTGTTTACTTTTTTGTGCAATATTCCTAATTTATTTTAAGCACAATGTAAAGAGCTAGCAGTTGTAAAACACATTTGATGTCAGGCGAGCAGCGTGTATGCTAGGGATTCAGTAAAGTAAGTACTCATTATTAATTAAACAAAATTATTTTTCCTTAATACAAAAAAATACATGTGCTGTTACTGGAAATGAAACATTCCATCTCAGTCGACGCATCTTCTTCATATTGATTCTTAATCGATAATAAATGATGTCTATGGGCTCAACATCCACTTACCATCAGAAGGACTGCGTGCTCGTTTGTTCATCCTTATTCTATTAAAAAAAATTATTCAAAAATATTCCTCAATATGAGTTAAATAAATAGATTTAATTAATGCCAATGTTTTCCTTCACCGCCGAGCACGCTGTAAATCAGCACTTAAAATTGCAATTAACAATTTCATTAGTGTCTGAGGAATAAGAAAATGAATAATTCGAAGACTTGTGAAGTTCGCCAACACGCATTGGGGCAGCGCGGCGGACACTTCTTTGCCCTAAAACCCCCACAAATGAGGGGAGGCCTGTGCCCAGCAGTGGGACGTATATAGGCTGTAACTTTAATGCCAATGGCTTCATTTTACTCTGTATATCCGTCAAACCAGTTGTAAAAGTATAACTTTTATAAGTATTGTTATAAATTATATTGAAAACAAAACCTTTTCTCTAGCAAATTAACAGGCCTGTCTTGTTAAGCATAGGCTTCTCGTCTAAGGATTTGCTGTCATATGGAAACAAATTTAATTTAGAATAATCTGATTTTTGTGTTTCCCAAATCTAGTAATACGCCTACAAAATCGTCTAAGTTTTTCATACAGTTCTGATGCTCACATTGTTAATTTATAGGTTGCCTGCTTTATAGTGTGTGTATATACAAAATATTTCACTAAACATCAATAAAAAAATCATGTTCAGTAAATAATTGTTTTTAAAATAAGTTAACGTGTTTTTTTAATTTGAGAACAAAAAATCTGAAAATATTACACATGTGCTAGTTAAAATGTAGTCACACTTTTGCCTGTCATTGTGCATGTTTTTAGCATATTCATGTGTATATTGTGTACAAGTTTTTACATTTTAATTAGTACGTGAATTTGTAGAAAATATGGGTGTAATTTAGTTTTTAGCTTTCTTTAGTTTTGTATTTGTATGGGGTATTCTGCTATTAATTGATTTCTTTCTATTTCATATTAATGGTGATGGTGATTATAGCAGATTACTATGTAATGCGATTTCGTTTCTTATTTTTCTCTGCTAAATTTGCATCTCTATAGTTTTTTGTCTTGCAAGTATTTTGTAGCCATTTAAAGTTTAATAGTTTTTGATTTTTTTAGCTTTGTTGTGTTAGTTGTGTATTTATAGAATGTGAATGTGTAAGTAAAATAATAGGTGGATACTAGAAATAGAGGAGGGAGTGAAAATTTAGTTTTCATCAATATTTACACTGTGTGTATTCTTCTAGATTAGAAATCATTCGCGCATAAGTTAAAAAGGGAAAGGTTACGCAATGAAGATGATGCTAGTGTATTGTCGAGATTAAATTGTCACAAAAATATTGAGATGAGAGTGAGTCGGGGTTGAAGTACCTATTTTAGGGGAGGGGGGAGGGGTAGCCAGCTAGGTCGTGGGTGCGGGTGCGAGTGAGCGCGCGTGTGTTGTAGAGTCCGCGTCGTCGGAGGAGGCGCTGGGGCGCGCGGGGAGTGCAGGGGGTGCGGGCGGCGCGAGGCGGCGCCGGCGTCGCCGCACAGGTACCGCACGTCATGTCTACACACTGCCGCCACACACCATTCAACTGAAATTACTACGTACTAGACACGCTGACTTCTCTTTCACAACACGCGCTCAAACAAACAGTCTGTGCCTTAAAAAGGCACTCTGTGCTAGATCAGAGCGATCTAGTAAGTAGTACCGACTTGTTCTAGTAAGTAGTACTTCATACTTCAATGCCGCACACGCCGCTACTTTATCACTGACTTCACACGCCTTAATACTGCCCAGCCATTGCGAAAATCAAAGTCGATTTTCTAGTCTTAAACGTACACGTGAAAAAGTGGTTGAGTAAGAGAATGCACATCTCATACCGTGGGTGTAACTAAAGACGACGGAGGGAATTTAAACAGGACGTAGAGAAGAAACAGTAGACGCTACGCAGTAATCTTTCTAATAATAAATTAAAATAATAAAAAAAACCTACCATAACATGGTAACTACGGCAAAACTCATCAAAAAGACATTCTATATGGAATACCTATTTTCAGCAAAGATATTTTAGAGACTATAATGATAATAAATAGCACTGATAGAGAACTATAATAATAAAGGGAAGTGACATATCACTGAAAATGTTTGCTATCTAATAGAATTGTTTTTGTGCCTGGGAGTCCACCTGGTTAACTATAACCCTTCGTATTTTTGCCGCCAGTAGCAGTGACAGTGTACCTGTTTAAAGTTGTAGAAAGAAAGTGTTGTGTAAATTAAATTGTGAGGTATTTTATATTATTTAATATATATTCATATTATTCCAGAGGTGACACAGTACATGTATAGTAAGTTTATTGTAGCTGCTAAAAAATTACTTGACAACATTGAATTCATTTATTTTCATTAAACATTATTGTGGTTGTCTAGACTTACCCTGCAGAAATTAATCTAAATTCATTTCCCACACATCAAATGCATTTCCAATTTGAACAGTATGAAAAACAAGGATTCGTATTAGTTTTTATTGACAACGTTTCCAGCCGTGTCTGTTTAAAGATGCAAGAACACTATAATAACTATTGACTTTACATCACTTTACTATAAAAATCCAAATTTGTTCATACAATATTTTTATATATCTTTAAAAATAACATAAACACCACAATAATAATTTCATTAACGAATTCACACTGCATTATCGTAATATTAAAAAACACGTGTTGCCACACGTGCCAAAACTATTTTCTTTTACTAGCTATTATGTATTAGCAAAATAGATTTTATTAATTCTTTGGTTGATTGTATGTAACAGTCATCCATATTAGTTTTATATAAATCTACATAAAAATAATATGGAACATTATTTATTTACATACATGATAGATTTCATTCTAATTTTTCACCTTTTAGATAACTACATACATAAATTAGCAGCAGGTTTAATAAATTATTTTAATATTCACACAAATTGCATGTGTAACCTTTAAGTTTTACTGTAAGGGAGAAAGAAATATCTTTTCATAGTTTTTGTTTTAATATTTTTGCTAATGTTGAATGTAAATTACAGTTAGTATTACTAGATATTGCATGATACAATTAATTTAATTCACGATTTTTTTAGATCACATGTTGTAAGATTTTCAGATTTTATTATGTAAAAAAATAGAATTAATTTTGTTATAAATATGAGAATAGTTTTCATAATTTTATTCATATGTGCTAAGTTCTAATTTTGTTTTTTGATTAATTACATAAATGAAATAACTTTTCTAAATTTTATTTTTTGAGCTCGGTTTGCTTATTTTTTTTTTAAATTTTGACAGCTTATTATTTTTTATTATGTGTCAATAAAAAGAGAAAGATATTTGAATCATACTGCCTAATATTTTTTTTATATGGCTAATGTCTGGATTTTAGTTTATTTTATTTTTTTCATTTGAAAAAGAAAAGAAGGCAAATGTATGAAACGAATACGGTCACGCACCGAATAAATACGAATCTACATTGAATGACGGTGTTTATAGATTGCAAGTAAGTTGTTGCGTTACGGTTTCAGGAGGCGGGTGGAAGAACGGCGTGAGCGGTGGTGGCGGCGGGGGGCTCTGGCGGGGTGACGGCGGGCGCGGGAGCGGGGGCGGCGGCGGGCGCGGGTGGCGAGGGCGACAAGCGCGCCGGCAAGCGGCGCTCGCCGCTGGCCAAGGCCAAACCCGAGGCGCTGCTGAACGGCACCGCGTAGGAGCGGCGCCGCGCCAGGCCCTGGCCGCCGCGGCCACGCCCGCATGAGCCGAGCGAGCGCCGCAGTGCCGCGCTCCGCGCCGCTGGTGCCGTGCCGGCCACCATGTATACCTAACGTTAACGCAATGTGCGGGCGGCGGCCGCACGCGCGTGACTGGAACTCAGCGCCGTGCGACCCACCGACCCCGAAACTTACTCGTATTATGCTTTTATAAGACATTCGTCATTTGTATTCCTGATTATTCGATAAATATGAAAAATTAAACATGTGTACGACGCTCCCAAACCCCCCGGACGATACGCGCCGATCGCGCCCTTTCGGTAACTTATGGGAGATCGGACATAGCGCAGTACATACGTGTGTCGTAGCTTGTACTCTGTGGTTATGTGATTTCCTATAAAATAATAAACATTTCTGTACATATTTTCAATTGTATTTTTATTTTTTATTTGTAAAAATTATCGTTTCGACCGCGCGGACACCGCTGCGATCTACAGAAATGTCTTCAATCACAATTTAATACTGATTTGTTTGCCTGTGGCTTTTTGTATGAGGATTTCTTTAGATCTCAACATTTTCCGCACGGTCACTAACATTACTGAGGCAATACATTACACTTTATAAAAATATGACTAGAGGATGTTTACAATGCGTAAATAATACAGTATAATCTAAAATATCTCGGAATGTCTAGAAAGAAACGTCGGGGGTACATTTACTTGTGTGACACTCGGAACTTTAAAAATTCTAAAGGTGACTCCGATGACAATACCTATTCTGTCCTCGCCAAAAAGGCCAAACTCCCAATTTAGAGTATATTTACCTTAGACTAGACGACACTGTTCAGAATGAACCGCGAAGGAGATGGACTTTTTGGTTCAGAGGGACAGTGTATAACAATATTTACATAGAGATAGATCACATCAGTCATTCTAACCGTATCGTGATATGCATTATTGCCGGGAATATCACTAGGAAATATTTACAAAGTTCAGATATGCTTTCAGCTAAGTCACGAAGCGTTTTTAGATACAAATTGTGTAATTGCGGCTTGTACAATCTGATATGTCGACTATACATTAATACGGAACTTTGGCATTTTCATTAACATGTTTATTTTGTAATAAATTAACGTTTTAATACAATTAACCTTTTTTAATATGATTCTTCGATTGAAACCCACATCCACGAAAAATACTGAACGGAATGATACATTTTTGTGTTTTAATCTCAAAATTTAATTTAATGTTAATTATGTTCATAAACCTTTTTTGTTTAATTGAAACTGTTTAGTATAAAATTTTCATTTGAGTACTCCGAGAGTATTTTTCGTTTTTACCCTACTAAAAGATAAAATAATGATAAGTAAGATCTGACAAATTTGTTTCGCCATAAAAATATTTGAAAGGAAGAAATAGAATATAAAATAAATAATTTGACAACTCTGATGTCATTTTCTTTCACATTTAAATGATTGTATGGTCATTAGGCCTTTGTCTTTTTTTATGGAACAAAGAAAAATAAGATTAAACATAAAGCACCCATTTGCATCCAGGGTTTTAAATTTTCTAGATATATTAAAAAAGTAAATACTAATATGGCACAGAAACGTCTTATATTATAATGCGATAAATAAAGTAAATCGTTACGAATTACATATTTATACTTATGTCTATGACAAACAATTTCTATGATAAATATTTTTGACTGTTTCCGTGGGGAATAACGATCACAAATTCTTGTCTCCTCTAGACAGGATTTGGGTCATGGCGACGACTGCGCGAGTGCAGGTCTTTGCCCTCATAGTCCGATGGGATGGCAATCTGACACGACCGGAGAGAGATCTAGCGCAGGCAGCAGACGGCTTTACGTACTGCCGAGGCACGGGTGTGAAAAGTCGCTAACTTCATGACTCCAGACTGATACCGCAGAAAAACGCAATAATTGATTTTGCCCCGACCTGAGATTTGAATCCAGGACCAACTGATCAGTAGTTGCAGTCGCACTTACTGCCAGTCAGTCAGTGCGAGGCAATCAATATCAAATTACTTAAAGGGCAAAGAAACATACACACTCAGTTCTAGGCTTTAATCTTAGAGTATACATTCCTTATGATATACATCTTGTGGTAGTTATACAAAAATGTTCCGTGCGTTTTTGTTAAGAAACTAGTAACGCCATAAACTACAAATATTCCTGTCAGCCACTCCAAACAAGCATAAAATGATGTTTCCCGTTACTCGAATAATGAATTTTTGAAGCCACGAATTTGCTGTTCTTTATGGCTACTGTCGTTTTTTCTCCTCCATTACGTGACACGAATTTTTATTTATTTATTAAAATATCAACAAAGAGGATTTTAGGTCCAACGAGGATAGTATCAAAAACGACAAATTTAATAATAAAAAGGACATCACGTTAAATCTCATCAACGGCTATAAAATTAACACTTCAAAGTTATTGAGGATTAGTTCCGTCAGCTGAAACAATTTTACTATTCTAAGCTAAAGCTTGACTACCATCCCACCTGGTGGAATGTGGTGATGGTGATACAGCCGGAGATAACGTGGCCTGATAACAAAAGCCTTTACTCTTGCCTTGAAAATGCCCACAATTTAATCAGATGAGAGACATGCTAACTTATTCAACTCTACTGTACGCATGTTGAACGATGAAGCAAACCGTTTAGTTCGAATGCGTGGTAAGTCGACAATGAAAGGGTGGAGACTGACCGAGGCCGAGCGTCTGGTTATCCGATGGTGGAAGGGAGAAGGAGGAATTAAGTTAAGCAATTCCTGCGCACACTGAATGCTGCATCCTGTAGACAACTGAAAGCTGCCTATTTTAAGCCTTTTGTAAAATGAAAATATTTAACGTTTGAATATGTAACAGACGCGACAATGACTACTGTATGATCAATTATCCCTTTCACTGTCCCGTGTACTACATATAGGTTATTGATCTTGTGTCTGAAAGCCGGACAACAAGTGTTAAGGTAAGTTTGAACAAAATGCCGCGCTCTTTGATTAGGTATTCAACCAACATACTCAAAGGCCGCCCTCGTCGTTCTTTGTGAGGTTTTTAGGAGCTATCTACTTGTTATTAAAAAGATATATCAACTAATGAGAAATCTGTTAAAGTTTTGTAGTTGATTCCATAATAGGCAATTCCAATTTATTAAGGAATAAATACTTGATGAATCTCCCTAAAACTAAACCACATAAATGCGAAATAATTATTGCTAACATGCATCTCCTCATACAGTAAGCATTATTTTATTTTGCGATTGACACTAATGGATAGGCAATTTTAATGTACATTTTGATCCATTTAATTTTTCAAAGGACAAAAATTCGATTCTATAAAGATTTTTTTTTGGAATTTACGCGATATATTGTAGCGAGAGCGCGTGGAATTTATAGGACCGAACGGTCAAGGTCGTTCGCTAGGAGTAGCGCAATTTGAATTTTGTTATTTCAAAAGTTAACATAAATTTGAAAAATAATATGCCATATTTATGCTTTTACTTCGTTTTCCTATTACACCTTATTTTTTCCTTACTGTAAAACGTCATCCGGTATAATTTTACAACTTGTATGATTAATTTTGACTACTCTATGGCGTAACGATCAGAGTCAGAGAGAGAGAATCCCATTGCTAATATCGTGGTCACTAACTCAACCGCAGCCGGTTTTGGTGCCTGGACATGTTGTAAATCTTGCTGTGCTTATGACACGGCTTCGAAACGCTCCTCCAATCTTTAATAATAATTGTCTGCATTGTTGCATAACATTAACAATTGGGTCACTATACGTAAGCAGTTATTGCTTTCGACAAAGTTCTAAATCGTTCAGAAGAACATCAGATAACTTTATCCTTCATATTTCATAGAGCCTTTCGACAATTTTCAACTGAATTTTTCTGCCACCAGAGCGGCGCCACTTAAAAATGAGGTTATAATCATGGAGGTTAGAGAACTGGTGTGTGGATGTGGATTAATATTAGCCCTCATTGACGAATTTTTTTTATAGACAAATGAAAACATAGAGTCTATACTTTTATGGTGCGTCTGTTAGTAATCGCGTAAATTCTGAACGACTTGATCGATTTAGGTCATATTCACACAATATATTTATTTAGGCGAGCCAATGGTTCATTCATATGCTAGGACTAATTAGGATCCAATACGTAACGTATACAAGGTATTAACAAATTCTATATAAAAGTATGGGCCCGATAGGTAGTGCTGTAGTTGAGCTATATTTTTTTTATATTTACATTGAGTATTCCAGAGTAAAGTCGGAGTGAAATTCATCGCACCATTTACCGGAAAGTGCAGCACAACGTCTGCCGGGCCAATTAGTGTATTATAACGTAAATTATTTGGAAATTTAGGTATAGAGGTTTACAAGTGCATAACATTACAGGAAATTTTATGATATGTATCTACTCGTATTTATAAAATATAATAATATATATATTTCAACATTGATGATTTCCTGAAAGATACTACAATCTTAAAGCCACTGCCGTGACTTCGCTTATGTCCATAATAAAGCCAAAACTGGTCCATAAATTTACTCAGGAAGTCTTCATACGAACGTCCCAAGTTCGGTTGGCTTGTCCCCGGCAATAATGAGGTGATGGCATTAGAGTAACCGGTGGCGGTCCTCGTGGCACTCGTCACTGTCTTCACTGTCCGAGTGCGAGCAGTATGAGGAGTCACTCCAGTGCTGGAACTCCTCTTTGTGGTGTTCCAGCGCCATTAATGAAGGGAACAGACTGTCACAGGAACTGCACCTGGAAGTCATAAATAAGAATATAGTCAATTTTTGTTGTGAGTTTGCAGTATGCTGTGCTTACAAAGACAGACTTCATTTTGCAGGGTTTGCCGTAATAGCCCCTCATAATTGGGGGGCGATTAGTGTACAAGACATTACTACACGATACTTGATTATTCTAGTCTATCTCTAGTAAATCATCTAAACAGCGCACACAGCCACAAAATGTTAACTTCCTTTCTCAGGTGAACCGTGAACTGGTTCTGTACTTAAGGGATTGTAGCACCGCCAAACTAAGGTGTTCTGCCCAGGAAGCGGTCATCGCGACGTGTGATAGTTCGGAGCTATTCCATAAGTACTGTTTTTACTTCGGAACTTTGATAGCGTGATTTAGGCTTCAATATGTTTCGTTTGTAGCGTGACAACAGCGCCGGCACATCCTTCTCCTCCATAGAACACTGACGGCAGATATAGTGGCAGCCTCGTACTGAAAAGCGCAGTGTTGGGCAATACACCACGAGATATAGTAACGTCCTGATTAAACTATGTTGGTGGACGCAGGTTGTTCGGGGCCACGCTTTGTGGCATCTATTGGAGAGGCGTATGATCAGCGATAGACTTGTGATGTGGGCGGTAGTCTCGTAGTGATAGTGATAGTTAAAGATGAATTGAACAAACAAACGAGCACACAAAACTGTCTGCGTAGTGCGTATGCCTTGCATTAAAAAGGGTCTTCAGTTCACTCATCATACGAAAATAATAAAAAATAATATGCAAATGCGTTGTCACCCCTGAAGACTACGATGGAATGCCTCGATTCCAGTAAAAAGGGTCACCGGTTCTCTACACTCACTATACGAAACACAGCAGCATTTAGCTGCTATTTTATACTGGTATTCCGTGAGATTAGACGTGAGGTATTCTGTCTATGGACTACAGCATTCACTTATCATCAGGTGGACTGTTTGCTCGTTTATCGTAGTCGTCGTAGCTTACCTCCGATCATATAAAAATAAAGTTATAAAGAATAAATAATATATTGAAGATATTAAAGAGGTAAGTGTCGACCGTTCGTTAGGATGAGTAAAAAGTAGATATCTACGTTTTACGTGGCACAATCATATTTATGCCGTTGATAGATAGTGGTCAAAATGTCGTCTTAGCAATATCAGATATAAATATTTTACAAAGAAAAGTATTATAATTTACCCAAAGTGCCGCTTCTTCTGTTGGTGGTCACTGAGTTGACGTCGGGTGGAGAAGGAGCGGTCGCACACGTTGCACGTCAGAGCCTCGTCTGAAAGAAATTGATAAAGTTTTTTTTTTATCTGGAATATTATTTTGGCGAAGTCTTCGTTAGACGAAGATAGATTATTATACAGATTAGTTTCGTTAGTTTGTAAATGTAACATACTAGCTGGTACCCGGTGCATTGCTGCCGGAGAAGAAATAATTGTAGAAATATCATTTTAAATTTGTAAGAGCTATATTGTTTAATGAGGAATAATAATACATCCATTGAAATTAAATGATCTATAACAGAGGTGGCCAACCGGTCGATCGCGACTATTAGTCCAGTCGATCGTGGCAAGGCAAAAAATATAAACATAAATACGTAGAACAGACTGCGGAACGTAATCACCAACTGCTGCACGCATTATCTTTTATAATTTTCAATCGCTGTTCCGTCATATTATTTATTCTGTGGTTCTATCACGTTACTTATTCTCCCCTTTACTCAGTATAGCTCTCTTTTGTTTTCGGCACGCGGTGAAAAATAAGCGGCAATCTATTCATGGTTGATTTGGTACAGCTCTCTTGATATACAGTGATGCGCCGTATAGAAACGATAAGTAAAAACATAAACGAACAAGTAAAAAAGATATTGTCCGCTGTGTTGCTTTTTTGCTACATCACTGATGCTGCACAATTACTTATTTTTTTTTCTTTGAAGATTCGCGACGAAAACAGAACTGAATTCAAAACATATATTAGCCAGATTAGGCTACTTTTGTTTAAACTCGTATCAATGACAACTGATGGGGCTCCTGTAATGTCAGATATTCATAATGGTTTTATTGCTCTTTGTCAAACACGAAGATTTTCCAGACTTTATTAGCTACCACTGCGTAATTCATCAACAAGTACTGGCTAGTAAGAGACTAAACACTAAACATTTGATGGATATTTCTTTCAAGATTGTAAATTCCATAAAAGAAAAATCTCTCCAAAGGCGGCTCATTAAACAGAAATTAGATGAGAAGGAACCAGATTTGGCATTGTACACAGAACACACCTAAGGTGGTTGAGTCGAAGCAAGTTTTTGCAAATATTTCGAGATCTATTGGACGAAATAATAAAATTTCTTAAAGAGAGACGTGATGATTATCAGCAATTGTGTGATTTAGACTGGCAATGTGATTTAGCAGATTTTACTGGAAAACTGGGCACATTAAATCTGGAACTACAAGGCTAGAATAAAAGTAAATCAATCTAGATAGAGAGGCAGGTTTTTTGGGGCGTAAAAGAAGTAAAAGAAATGATGAGTTCTATTGCAGCATTTCAAAGTCAAACAGCGTCTATGATAGTTGACATCGAAAAGAAAAAAATTTAACAATTTGTAAATATCAAGGATCATATAGAAAAACATTCTACCTACAAAACAATTCCTAACAAGTGCTCGGCAGGAATTAAGGCACTGGTATCAGACTTCGAAATTCACTTCAATAATTTAAAAAAAATTGAGAAGTTGGTGGAATTCATCATTTACCGTTTAATAGTTCCCTTAAACAAAGTGATATCTAAGAAATGGCTACAAATTTTGCAGATACTTTTCAAATGGACCACATAATACTTCAAAACTAAATTATTACTGTGCGATGCGACGTATTTCTAAAAGCAAGGTCATCCTCAGGTCTTGATTTCTGCATTGGTTTCCAACGAGAAATATCTAAGTTTGAAGAAATGTGTTGAAAAATTGAATTCGTGTTTTGGTTCAACTTATTTATGTGAGTCAGCATTTTCCTACTTAAAACAATCAAAAAATAAACACCGTCCTCGCTTGACAGACGCTTATAGGTACACTGGATTCTTTAAGGTTGGCAATTTCCAACTACACACCTGATTTTACTAATCTAGCGCAAGATGTTCAGACGCAATGCTCACACTAGTATACATAAAAAGTTACTAAGAATAATTTTCAGTTTTATGTTTTCCCTCTTAATAAAATAAAAATACTACTTAATTGTGTACTGAACTATGCTGTTTCATTTAAGATTTCAAGAAGTATGTAACTGGTAGATCGCATACGGCTTCCTTAGTAAACAGTAGATCTTGGATCTAATCAAGTTGGTCACCCCTGATCGACTGACTTTGTCCGTACGAAACGCGCGCCATCTTCTGTAAGTTAATTGTACTATACCTATAACCTTCGCGCAAGTGCAAGCAATAAGTTGATAATGTTTTATCGCAATCTGATGAATGGTACGGCAGCGCATAAAATACGAACAAACAAATATTAATTTTTATACAGGGCTATTTTGCAATAATCGGCCAAGCCAAATTTGCAGAGAAGGCTAAGAATAAGTAATATAGTAAAATGGTGAAGAAATATTATTTAACAAAAAAAAAAAAAACGCGTTGCAGTCGTTTATGGGCGGCGGTCGACACTTACCATCAGGTGAGCTGCGTGCTCGTTTTCCCCACTTCTATAAAAAGGATAGACAGTGGGCTTCTACGTGTTAAGTATGAAGATGCGAATGAATGACTGATTTGCCACACACAACACCACGGTTTTCGACCCAGCATGATGCTGTAATATGTAAAGTAAAAGTAAAGTTATAGCCTATATACGTCCAACTGCTGGGCACAGGCTTCCCCTCATTTCCAAGAGGATTTTAGGACAAGGAAATGTCCGCCGCGCTGCCCTAATGCGTATGTACGGCTGTACTCGTAATACATAGATAAATAAATATGTAGCAAGCTCGTAATATGTGTACGGAAGTAAATTGTTTGGCTATGGTAGCTCTGAGGCTGAGAGCCTGCGTATTTCGTAGCGCGAGCAACCCGCTGAACTTCGGCGGCACCATTTCAATTGATAATTGTAATTTTAGTGTTTGTACTGATTTACCACGAGTTCCACGGTCAAGATATTGTTGCAAAACCTAAATTTTTTTAAACAATAAGGGTGACAACGTCCACACAGACCAACTGATGGTAAGTGGATTTTGTGGCCCATAGACATCTACATTTCCTTCATTATAATTAAAATACAGATGCGTTGTCACCTCTGATTACTAAGATAAAATGTTTCGTTTCCAGTAAAAAGGGTCTCCGGTTCTCTACACTCACCATATGAAACACAGCGGCATTGAGCTGCTATTTAACCCTGGTGTTCATACTATTTTACGCTACGTTTAAAGAATTAAAGTTATATCGAGGACATGTGAAGTCCCCCAACACACATTGAAGGAGTTCTCAGAAATGAGAGGGAGCTTGTGCCCGGCTGTGGGGCGTTCATAATAGGCTGTAACTTTATTTCATAATATCATGTTTACAGCATTGTTATCGTTTCCATGTAGGTAATAAAACATCTAACCATTTTGACATGTCAAAATCCATTGCAAGCCATTTAATTATTTAAACGATAATGTAGGAGCGGTCAATTTCCCGATTGATTCTATGGTCTGGTCTTTTTTTATAGAATTAGAAACGTGCACATACTCCACCCGATGGGAAGTGGATGCTGTGGGCCATAGACATCTACATTTATTCTCGATTAAGTATCAAAACGCAGATGCGTTGTCACCCCTGAGGACTAAGAAGGAATGCCTCATTTTCACTAAAAATGATCCCCAATTTTCAACACCCACCATACGTAACACACCAACATTGAGCTACTATTTTACGCTGGTATTCTCTGAGCATGGTCCTTCCCAGGTCGAGTTGACCTGTTCATGCTACAACCATAATGTTGCAAGCTATAATTAATGCTCCTAGCACCATCTAGTGTCGGGTAGCAGAGCGAGAGCTTTATAGAAAATGCCATGCTGAAACTTTCCACCTCCAGCGCCAACTAATAGAAGAATTAGCTTTCTAGAAAGCCCCACACTCGAACTTTCTGCACCTGGTCGGTCGGGGCCGCTATTTGCTGGAATATTCTGGATGTTTCGGTGGAAAAAGCCTATATAAAGCCGCTGAAAGCCGCGGTCGGGGCAGTATTGAATTGGCGATACGAGCGAAGCTTTCGGATCGAAAAAAAGTACTTAAACTAAAGTGTGATTTAAGTTTTAATTGGTGTTCAGTAATTAAAGTGTCAATTTTGATAATTCAATCGGCAGTTTTTATAATATAGGTGCTGCTTTCAACAATATAGCTGCAGCGTGACTCCACCACGTCCAAAATTTATTTTAATATAAAATTAATAGAATTTAAAATTATTATAGTAAGTGGTCATTTCTTAAAGCCCTAGCACAAGTCAAATGCTGAACGCAGACCTTCCTCAAGAAACTCCACAGAACATGGTCCTGAGCAATCTGTATCCACGGGCGTTCTGCATGTCCTTCTAAGTCGTCGTCACTGCATCCAGTCGAGGACCGCCCTACACTTCGCTAATCAGGGTGTCACTAGAGAATCTTTCTTCCCCATCGGTTTTCGGTTTTTTGGGCTATGACCGGCTTATTGCCAAATCAGGTAAACAGATCTAATTATAGCTCGCTGGGTAAATGTATTGTCTACCTTAATCAGTCACTCAGCAGTATCGATTCCTTATTTTTAGCCGACTTCCCCAGAAGGAGGGTACCGTTTTTCGAGTGTATATACGTCTTAGACCATTTAGGTTGAATGGTCTAAGATGTATGTATATTTCTTTGGTACGCTTTGTAGCCTAAATTACTTGATGGATTTTAACATATTATGTGGTGACGTTAGAATTGTCTTAGTTCTAGAAGTGAAATTAGAAATAAAACTTCTTTTTTCAGTAAACTTTTTACGTAGTCGGGTTTTTTGTGGTTTTAAGCTTTGGACTTGTTTTCTTTTAAGAAAAAATGCATTCCACCGTGTAACTGTATTAAAGCAGGTAGAAAACAGTAGATAAATATTTCTGGTTCGTACGAGAATCGTTACAAAAATGTGATTTAAAATTAGATCTAGAATTTTTTTTTTAGAATTTTTTTTCTTTAGATTAAGATTAGATGTCACTCATCATAGCCATAAATGATTTTCGATTATATAGCTCCGGTGTCGGTCTGATGCTGGTGTATCTGGCAGTTTGTGTTGTATATTTTACATTACAGCTTCACAACATGTATGACTATTATCTTTTTATCCCGTCTTCTTAAAGCCTCACACCTTTTAGTATTTATAAGCACGCTACTTTTTACACAATCTGGCAAAATTTTGTAGCGAAGTTTTATTTTTAACAGGATTAATGGATTGTATTTGTAAAATAAAACAAACTTTTATAATAATTCTTAGTTATTTATTATATTATAAAATAAAATATAGTACAAAATAGTAAGTAAGTAAATAGTATGTACATATCAGCCCAAAATTTTCCTTTCTTCTTGCATAAGTATAATATAAAAAATTTAACTTTTACGAAAAAGAGAACACTACAACTAACAAATTTTATACAAGTCTTTCAATTTGTTTAAAAAGGGGCATCAGAAGTCGCCTTAATTTATTTATTTGTAAATAAGTGTGCGTTTATTAAGATTTCGTAGATACATACTAGATACAAAATGATCATATAAGAAATTATTCGCAGGCAAGTTCTTTACATTCAAGTTCAAGTTTTGTACATTATGCGTGAAAACACGGAGTTTTTGAGAAAAATGAGAACTAATTAGATTGAATTTTCGCCCCGGTTTTGTTCCCAGATTTTAAATTTCGTCGGAATCGTCAGAGCCGCTTTCGAGAACTCCATTATAAACTAACAAATATATTATATTACTCATGTAAGATACTTGTTGTCGAGATTCAGAAATTACCCGCGCGGTGCCCTAGCGGACCGCTAGTTATTTATAGGACTTTGTGATAAGTAGAGGATAGTCGTCAGAAGATATTTTTTAAATTGTGATTATTTCGCAAACTTACTGTTGTTTATATATATATATATATATATATATATATATATATATATATATATATATATATATATTTGAAGAGACAGGCCGGTATTCACAGACAATTTCGGAACAAAATTTGTGTAAAAAATATGGAATAGACTCAAATTTTGATTTTGTAGAACATCGATACGTGTAATATCACAACCCAATGGTCTGTGTGGAACAACAGCACAAAAATAATCAGTTATTGGGAGAGGAAACAGATAATAGAAGGCAAGAATAAATTTATTTAAACTACTTTTATGGATTTTATCGCTTTTAATTTATTTGATTTTTAATTCTCGACGTTTCGGGTGTTTCGCAGCAACCATGGTCACGGTGGACTGAGGTGACTGACGTGTCGATGTCAATGTTAATCCGGAGTACCTTCAGCTTTTTAATTATTGTTCATGGTCTGATCTACTAAGAATGAATTATTAACTTACTGTGTCTTGAAGTCTTGCAGTGGTATGCTTGGGTTTAGTTTTAATTCTATTAATTACAGGGTCCCAATCAGGTGTTAGTACCCAGCCTCCTCCTTTATTAAAATTAGGGTGTTTTTTAATTCCAATAGCCTCAAGTATCATCCTTGGTAGGAATCGATGTTCTTTCACGAAGATTTGTGGTCCATCAAATCTACTCTAATGGCGGGGGCCGTCTTCCCTTTGCAGGGAAGTCTGCAGTTTGTGATCATATCCTAGGCGGCCTAGACGGCTAGTTTTAATCAATATGTAGTGTTCGCGTAAATATAAGAAATCATTAGGCAAAAATAAAGCTTAATTGTAATTAAAATATAGTATCTAAGTACTCTATTACATTGGCGGAATTATTATTATTAGAAAGATGAACCGTGAATAAGGCCTAACACGAAAGGCACGTATGGCAATTCACAATGCTGTGCTAGTGTGCCTTATATTAATGTATGGTAGTGAAAGTTGGGTGTGGCAGAAGAAGCACCAGAGTAAGATAAATGCTATAGGTGATTCTGAATAAAGGTGTAATAATTAAACTTTGTAAGATGTTGGGCCAGGATTAAGAAAGTAATGCTTCAGGGGTTTGAACACGTAGAAAGAATGAATGTGGAAACAGTGACAAAGCAAATTTAATTTGCTCTAGACGAACATTTATCGCTTTACAAATCTATGATATACTAAATAGAGCCAAATTAAGAAAACCCTTAACGGACCAACATGAAAACATTATCTTCAATTAAGAATCAAAATGCAAATGCGTTGCCAGCCCTGAGGACTGAGATGGAATGCCTCGTTTCCAATAAAAACGGTCTCCGGTTCTTTATACTCATCATACGAAACACATCAGCATTAAGCTGCTATTTTACATTGGTGTTCTGTGAGAACGTGGTTTTACCCAGGTCGAACCAACCCATTCGTGCTGCAATCACAATATATCTGCAACATGGCTCTACCTCGTAAAATATTTATATACAGATATTACATAATGATAAGTTAAAATATTCAAAAAAATTTAAAGAGCAAACTGCTGATGCTCTGTTGTATTTACACACTTGAGAAACCGATGTACATTTATTAAAAACGCACTTTCTCAATTATATTGACACTTCATGCTCAATTTGTTAATTTTTAATACCATATAGGTTATTTTGATTTAAATTTAACTTGCATGCTATATAATATTAAAATAGCAACACATGTGGGCATAATACAACTCTGATACATCTGTATAGTTACCATGTTTTATGCACATAAAGACTATTGTTATTATTCATAACAAATAAATTCCACCTCACTCACAACAAGCGACATCTGGTGAGCGTAAAGTTAAGCCCTCGTTGATATAAAGCGAAACTCAAAATCATTTAAAAGAAGCTTCAAACATAATTATTTAATATATCAAAAGTAGTTTTGCTGGTTTGACATTATATTTTGCAAGCAGCTACATCTCCTAAGCCTCATTAATAGATCCGTAGATCAGATGCATTCTTGTTGTAATGTTTATAGTAAGCTATTAACGATCCTCCCCTACAGAAATTTTCATTTACAATTTTACGTGCCGATTTACAGCGTTCTCGGTGGTAAAGGAAAACATCGTGAGGAAACCCGCATGTTTGAAGAATAAAGATATATTGAACACATGCTGTGAAGTTCACCAACGAGTACTGAAGAGCGGTAATTGCTACATAATGATCTCAGATCTTTTTTTATAGAATAATGGTGATAAGCGAGTACACAGTCCACCTGATGGTAAGTGGATGCTGTGGCCCATTGATATCTAAGTCTATCCTTGATTAAGAATCAAAATGCTGTACCATTGTCACCCCTGAGGTCTAAGATGGAATGCCTCATTTTCAGTAAAAATGGTCCCCAGTTTTCAACACTCACCATACGTAGCACACCAACATTGAGCTGCTATTTTACGCTGGTATTCTGTGAGAGCGTGGTTCTTCCTAGGTTGAGCTGACCTGTTCGTGCTACAACATAATACAGCTGCAGCGTGGCTCTACCACGTGTAAAGGCTGGTGCCCAGATGTTGGAGGAGGTATAATATACCTATATAATTCTTACACCCATTTTTTACTGAAGTTTATACCCAGTTTATACTGAAGATAAAATTATTAAATATTTAAGTTATAAATTCAATTTTATTGCCTTAAATTAAAAACCACCTTTTAATAAATATAGTCCAAAATTCTTCACCAGTATTCATTGTTCGTTATATTGGCAATGTATTAGACACTGATGACTTGAACATACTTCCAAAGAACCTCATTCCTGAAGAGCCACCGGGTATTGAGCCCATCATCATCCACAAGAGTGCTAGGACTTGTCCCACTGCACAAACTATTGTCAGCGGAGTGCTTTGTAAGTGCAAAGCACAATAAAGGGTTGCTATCAGTGTAAAGCTATATAAAGAAGTTGTCAGAGCTTTCTCCTTGGAGAATAACGACTTGAAGTGAGACCATGGTCCATAAAGGAAGCTAAAACTGTAACAAATACATAACATTAGTGTCAATATTTAGAAAAGTAAAAAGCTTTAGATAGGCCTACTTTAAAAAAAATAATATAAAGCAATAATAACAAACAAACACAAAGTCCACCTGATGGTAATTGGATACTGCGGCCCATAGTCATCTACATCTATCTTCGATTAAGAATCAAAATAAATATGTATTGTCAAGTCTGAGGATTATGATGGAATGTCTCATTTCTAGTAGAAAGGGTCTCCATTCTTTACGCCATAAGAACACAGCAGCATTAAGCTGCTATTTTACGCCAGTACTCTATGAGAGTGTGGTCCTTCCCCAGTCAAGTCGACCCATTTGTGCTTCAACCATGATATAGTTGCAGCATGGCTCTATCACAAATAAAAACGAATCTTTGTTTGTTTGTGTTGATGAGAGACTTCAACGCAAAACTAGGCACAAGAGAAAGCGGTGAGCTGAAGTTAGGGAAATTTGGAGTAGGGCAACGGAACCGTAGGGGCCAGCAGCTGGCCGACTTCATGGAGAAAGAGGGACTCCTTATGATGAACTCTTTCTTCCAGAAGCGGCCCCACAGGAAGTGGACCTGGTCGAGCCCCGACGGTTCGACAAAAAATGAGATTGACTTCATTATGACGACCAGATGCCAACTGTTCAGTGATGTCTCAGTGATCGCAAGGGTGAAAACTGGCAGCGATCACCGAATGGTTAGAGGCACACTGAACCTAAACGTTAAGTTGGAGAGGTCTCGTCTAATGAAGTCAACGCTCCGTCCCCCTCGTGCTCTAATCCAGAATCCCGAAACCTTTCAGCTCGAGTTACGTAACCGCTTTCAGTGCCTAGAAGATTGCAATGCAGGACGATATGAATGAATGACAAGCTCGTGGAAACTGTCCATGCGGTCGGAGTTAAGTTCTGCAAGATCGGCCGCAAAACAACACAAAAGCTCTTCGATCACACTCTTAATCTCATGACTGTTAGACGGGAGATGAGGCTGCAATCGTCAACAGATTTGACAGCATACAGGCAACTGAACAGACAGATCTCCAAATGCATGCAGCGAGACTTACGCAAATTTAATACTGCTCGTATTGAAGAAGCGATTGAGCGGAACCAGGGCTCCAAAGTCTTTGCCAGAGATCTGTCTGCCAGTAATAGCCAACTGTCAAAGCTGAAGACTGAGTGTGGCAGCATTGTTTCCGGGACACCTGAGATTCTGAGTGAGATTGAGAAGTTCTATGGGCAGCTGTACACATCATCGTTGGAGCCACACGCAAGTGTGAGTAACGATCCAAGAGCGGGTCTTATCCGACACTATTCCGATGATATCCCGGACGTCAGTCTGAGCGAGATTAGAATTGCTCTCCAGTACCTTAAAAACGGCAAGTCCCCGGGCGAGGATGGAATTACAGCGGAGCTTCTGAAAGAGGGTGGAAAACCGGTGCTTGAAGTCCTTCAGAGGCTCTTTAATTCCGTCCTCCATGGTGGCACTACTCCGGAGGCGTGGAGCAGAAGTCCGGTGGTCTTGTTCTTTAAGAAAGGTGACAACGCCCTCTTGAAGAACTACAGACCGATAGCCCTTCTGAGCCGCGTCTACGTGCTGTTTTCGAGAGTCATTACGAATCGTCTCGCACGCAGACTCGACGACTTCCAGCCTCCCAAACAAACCGGTTTCCGAAAAGGCTTTAGTACCATAGACCACATACATACCCTTCGGCAAATTGTACAGAAGTCCGAAGAGTACAATCTGCCATTTTGCCTGGCGTATGTGGACTATGAGAAAGCCTTTGATTCTGTCGAAATTTGGGCGGTGCTATAGTCTCTTTAGCGGTGCTAAGTCGACTGTCGGTATATCGAAGTGCTGAAGTGTTTGTACAGTAGGGCTACGATGGCTATCCGAGTACAGAACCAGATTACGAAACCTATCCAACTGCAGAGAGGTGTAAGACAGGGTGACGTTATTTCCCCGAAACTCTTCACCGCTGCATTGGAAGACGTTTTCAAGCTACTGGACTGGAAAGGATACGGTATTAACATCAATGGCGAGTACACTCACTGCACTCACCTTTGATTTGCCGACGATATAGTCCTTATGGCAGAATCGCTGGAGGACTTAAGCACTATGCTCAATGACCTCAATTGTGCCTCCCAACGGATAGGTCTTAAGATGAACATGGACAAAACAAAGATCATGTTTAATGTCCATGTCACACCTATGCCGGTAGTTGTTGGGAGCACTAAGCTCGAAGTTGTTGACGAGTATGTTTACCTGGGACAAATAATCCGGCTAGGTAAGTCCAACTTCGACCGAGAGGTCAATCGACGGATTCAACTCGGCTGGGTAGCGTTCGGGAAATTACGACACATCTTCTCGTCAGGTATACCTCAAAACCTGAAAACTAAGTTGTACAACCAGTGCGTGTTGCCAGGGATGACATATGGAACTGAGACATGGTCCTTCAATGCTGACCGTATGAGGACGCTCAATGTCGCTCAGTGAGCTATGGAGAGGGCTATGCTCGGAGTTTCTTTGCGTGATAAACTTAAAAATTAGGATATCCGCAGTAGAACCAGAGTGACCGACATAGCCCAACGGATTAGTAAGCTGAAGTGGCAATGGGCCGGCCATATAGCTCGAAGAACCGACAACCGTTGGGGAAAAAAGGTTCTCGAGTGGCAGCCTTTTACCGGTAGACGAAGTGTAGGGTGACCCCCCCCCTAGATGGAGTGACGGGTAAGACATGCAGGAAGTCGATGGATGCAGGTGGCTCAGGACCGTGCTTTGTGGCATATCTTGGGGGAGGCCTATGTTCAGCAGTGGACTTGTAAAGGGCTGTAATGATGATGATGATGATGAAGAGAATATCTAAGATATTACACTAAAATTATAAACATAAATCAATCCCAAATATTTTCATTGGATTTGTGTTGAAAATAAAGTATTTAAAATAATATTTTGAAAATAACAGCCAGTATTATTTTACATTTACTTCTGATAGTTCTCAGCAAAGTGTAAAGTAGCCCCTACTAGATGTCAACTTGGCAAGAGATGCAGGTCGAAGAATGCAGGTAGCTGGGTACCTCGGTACCATACTTGTGGCATACATTAATGAAGACATTTCATTAATAACAATAATAATGTCTTCCAGACCGAATTTCGGTCATGGCGGCCTGCCTCAGCGGAGGCTAGCCGGCGGCGCAGAACATGATTACAGTGCCTAAGTGTATGCGCAAGCACAAGTGCACTCTATTCCCTCACTCTCATAATCCGATGGGACGGTAAACCGACACGACCGGAGAGAGATCAGGCGCAGGACCAACAGCTTTACGTGCTTTCCGAGGCACGTGGGTGAGACACCGCCAAATTCCTGAGAATTTCTTGACGGAAAAACTCAATAATAAATTTTTTGGCCCGACCCGGGATTCGAACCCAGCACCTCATGATCATCAGTTGTACTACTACAACCACTAGACCAACGAGGCAATCATTAGTAGTGGACTTAGAAATAATGTATATCTATGTATGCATAATCATCATTATTAGGCTGTAATAATGATGATTATGCATACAGTTTGATAGCATAAATATTAATCAATTTTGGTTTAGAAACAATGATACAAATGTGATATATATATGATTAAGATTATTTTAACTTCCTTAAAAATAAATGAACAAAAACCTGATTAGTGACTGACTTTTGCTAGATGACCATGAGAAAATATCAAAGGTTTACTATTATCCTGCAGGTGCAGATTAATATGTACTTTCAAGGTTGTTTGAAATTACATTTTTTGTAAAAAGTGGATCAAAATAAACCAGGGATTGAATAACCGAAAAAATTATGGTACAGACGATAAGCGGTATGACGTCATACCTTTAAATTTCGATACCTTAAAATAAAGGTACCTTTAAATTACTATACCTTAAAGTAACTGTACCGTTACTTTTTCAAGTATCTAAATTATAAAATAAAGGTATAAAGTATAAACAAAGAAATTGTACGCCGCAACTCGCGCCGAGGCTTCACGCAGTGTCGGCCGCATTGGTAAGAGAGTAGGTACTTGATCGAAAATTTACGGATATTCGTGTCTCGGCAGCTAAACAAAGTAGATTTTTTTGCCATTTTGCCGCCATTCATGTTTCCGCGTATACTTTGATTGTCAACTTAATCACAAGTGTGCTTTTTTTTAATTTATTTTATGTACACACATTAAGATACAGAAGCAGTCTTATAGTAATTTCGTACAAAGGTTCTACTTATTCCAAATTAGCTGAAGTATCTTCCAGTAGACCCATAAAGGAAATTATATTGAAATTGCAAACTTAGTGCATACATTAGTACTACTAAAAAATAAATAATATACACAATGTTACGTAAATTATATAAAATAAAACAATAAATAAAAATAAAATAAATCAATAAATAATAATAATAATAAATACGATAGTTACATATGATATACATAAACTAAAACTAATATAATAGAGTAATATATATAAATTAACAGGATGCAAAGTAGTTATCACTAAGACGTTTCTTGAATACCAACAAAGTTTCGGAATTTCTTATATTTGACGATAGTGAGTTCCATAATCTTACCGCGTGAACTGCTTGTTATAATGTGTGCTTTGTTTAAAATTTTACAATTAGATTGTCGTAAAGATGGATAAAAGTAGGTACAAACTAATTAAGCATTTCTTGACGATATTATACAACTTTGTATATCTTTATACTTTTTTAGATTGAGGCCGAACGAACGTAATTTTTCGAGTTGTGAGTGATGATATGATTGAATATGATTTATTTCAGAACCAGTCATCATGTGTCAGAATAAGCACCATCATTCCCTAGATATTTTTGTGAATTCGGAACGACCAAGGACTCCTTCTGCTCTACACCCTAAAGTAGAAAAACACCCGGAGAAAGATAAACATCGCTCTGAATGTTTCCATTGCATGGCTATCCAACGAGAAGAAAAGGATCAAAGAAATGACATTTTTA